TACTTTGTGCCATTCCCTTCTGGCCTGTAGAGTTTCTGATGAGAAATCAGGTGTCAGCCTTATGGGAACTCCTTTGTGGGTAACAGTTTTCTTTTCTCTTGCTGCCTTTAAGATTCTCTCTTTGTCTTTAATTTTTGCCATTTTAATTATGATGTGTCTGGGCGTGGGCCTGTTTGGGTTCTTGTTTGAGGTTCTCTGTGCCTCCTTAACTTGTGTGAGTTTTTCCTTAACCAGGTTAGGGAAGTTTTCTGCCATTATTTCTTCAAACACCTTCTCCATGCCTTTCTCCCTTTCCGCCTCTTCTGGCACACCTGCTATTCTAATATTGTTACTGTTTCCGTTGTCCCACAGCTCCCTTAAGCTGTCATCCTATTTTTTAATTGTTTTTTCTTTCTGGTTTCCTGATTGATAGTTTCAACTCTGTCTTCTAATTCACTGATTTGATTCTCAGCTTCCCCTAATCTGCTGTGTTTTCCTTCCAATGTGTTCTTTATTTGTGTTATGTCATTTATCTCAGACTGTTCTTTTTTCATAGTTAACTATATCTTTTTTCATGCTGTTGAGCATTTTTACCATCATTACTCTGAACTTTGATTTAGATAAATTTCGTATCTCTGCTTCATTTATATCTTCTTCTGGAGAATTCTCTAGTTCTTTCATTTGGGGGTTGTTTTTTTGTCTCCTCATTTTGGCTTTCTGTTTTGGGTTTGTTACTATGTATTAGGTAGATCCTCTACACCTCTCAATCTCTAGTTCGGGACAGTGTTAAAGGCTGTTTCTGACTAATTAGATCAGGCTTAGACTCAAAGCCCCCAGAGACCACTGCTGCCTACAGACTGATAGGATTCTGACCTGAATTGCCCCCCAGGCAATCGTCCTCAGGTGTGGCAAGAGTTTTTTTTCTACAGGGTAGAGTAGTTGCTACTGCCTGGAGGCTAATTGTTATTTTTAATCTCTTAAGTGGTCTCAGGGCAAGGTGTTTTCCAATAGGGTGTGTTGACTGTCTTCCCCTGAGGCAAGGCAAATGTCTGTGTGGGAAAGATGTCCTCTGTTGCATGAGGGAGTGATCTCAGGGATGGAGGCAGTGATTCAATGACTCAAGTAGATTGGAGCAAAGGCAAAATATACCTCTCTTCATTCCAGGATCAGAATTATACCTTGATTAAAAACCTTAAACAATATCTAGATTATACCTGCTAGATGCAGAAACCAGTTAAGTCTACCTGCCTCTTACCCAGGTCTCTGCTCACTGAAGTGGGCTTGTTTATATGCACTGCCCGGTTATGATGCTGATAAGCCAGGGTGTGGGAAGGGCTCTGACAGCCAGCAGATAGGACACTTCTACTTACAGGGTGTTTTTCACCTGTTCCTTCTTTCTAGAGTTGCACTGATGTGTAGGATAGGGAGTAGTTTTGAAACTCCAAAAAACCGTGGAGAGGGGGTGTGTGAGGAGGAAATTCTCTATCATAGGAAATACTTTTTTATTTGAAAAAAAAAAGGATCTGTTATTTTATAATTTAACAAGTGTTTTATAAAAGTAGTCAGGCAGCAAAGGGTCTGCTGCCCAGCTTTCTAGTTTACAGTAGGAAGGAAGGGGTGGGTCTTCCTTCAGGCTGGCCGCTGTGCTTCGTGGCTGGATTTCTAATTCCCTTCCGTGGACCTCATAGTTATGCTATTTTTTTCTAGATTCTGGCAAGAGGTTCATTTTCAGCCCTGGTGTTCAGTGTTGTGAGTTTTTGTGGTTGGTCCTTATTTCTTTGTCATCTTAGGTATTTTTAATGGGCATTTGGAACAGGCAGAACTAGGCACTGCTTGCTAGATGCCATTTTTAAACCAGCTGGAATTAGCTGTTGCATTTATTTTATCAATATTCCTATAATGTTTGTTTTGTTAATGATAAAGACTAACATTATCATATACAGTAGGTCCTCGGGTTACGTCAGAGATCCGTTCCTACGGCGCGACGTAACTCGATTTTCGCTGTAAGTTGGAACCTACCTACATAAGCACCTACGTCACTCACATGGAGCACATACACAGCAGTAATGAAGTGAAACAGTAAAAAAAAATTTAAAAGAAAGATAACAATTCCTGACCTTTACTTGTGGTAAATAAATAATAAAAAACATAAAGCACATATGTACATATGTCAAAATGACGGAACTTTTTTTTTATATAAATAAATGGGAGATGGCAACGTAACCACAAAACGACGTATGTCGAGTCCAATGTAACCCAAGGACTGTCTGTACTACTAATAATTATAACAGTAATAATATCTGACTCTTTTATGTCTTAATGCTGCGTATTGTGCTGAGTCCCTCATCTGTTTTGTCTCATTTGATCCTCAGCACTTTGTGGGCAGATACTGTTCTCATCCTTATTTTACATATGAGGAAACTGAGCCTTAATGGCTTTAATTTTGCCTAAAGTGCTAACATAGACTGGGTCTGATATTCAAACTTACCTGCCTCTAGACCAGGGGTGGGCAAACTTTTTGACTCGAGGGCCACAATGGGTTCTTAAACTGGACCGGAGGGCCGGAACAAAAGCATGGATGGAGTGTTTGTGTGAACTAATATAAATTCAAAGTAAACATCATTACATAAAAGGGTATGGTCTTTTTTTTTTAGTTTTATTCATTTCAAACGGGCCGGATCCGGCCCGTGGGCCGTAGTTTGCCCACGGCTGCTCTAGAATCCACTTTAACCACTGTGTTCTTTCTTTGTCCTTCTCAAAAAAGCCTCAGCAGTCTTGGCTATTTTCATATTCCTACTTTGACTATTTTACAAATAGCAGTCACATCATTTTTGTAAAACCACTATGTTTGGCCCACATCCGCATATGTGTGCTTGACTTTATAATCACATGAGAAGAGCTTCTGGGATGCGGGGATGTTCTCTATACTTAATTTGGATGGATGTTACACAGGTTTACTCACTTTGTAAGAATACATCAAGCTGTACACTTAAAACTTGGTACTTTATTGTATGTACAGGGTCAGGCAAAAGTAGGTTTATAGTTTGTATAGAAAATAATACAGTAATTAATAAGTAATAATATAAGAATTAACTCTGTGTTTCGCATACTCACAATTGTAAACCTACCTTTCCCCGCCCAATGTATGTTATACTTCAGTAATATTTTCTTTCTAAAATGTTCATTATTTTAAAGTATGATGAGTTACTATAGTTGAATATATTCAAAGAATATTAGAGATTCTGAAGATAAATCTCAATAAGTAGAGTTCTGAAAATATTTTGTATAGAATTATAATTACAACTTTTTAAAGGAACTACTTTAGAGACAGGGTGATATTCTCCTGATGTGCTTACTTAAAAATGTCTCACTTTAATGACTTTTTAAATTATATAAGTAGTGCCTCGTATAGAAAAATACAGAAGCTGCCAAAAACAAATACTTACAAGGTGATTATTGTATTATTGTTCACTTTTTGAAATAATCTATATATATAAAAGCCTAAGCAACCGAATGACTGAACGACCAGTTGACTGGTCACTATGACATGCACTGACCACCAGGGGGTAGACCCTCAATGCAGGAGCTTCCCCCTGGTGGTCAGTGTGCTCCCACAGTGGGAGCACCGTTCAGCTGACTGACCCGTCCTGGCGGCTCACCAGCCCGGCGGCAGCCACTCACTCCCTCAATAGTCCTGTAGGTCCAATCTCTGGAGAACGGGCCAGGCACCAATGGACTGGTGCCACCAGCATGATCCCAACAGTGCCACTGGCCTCCTGGAAGTCGGCCTCGGGCACCATGGCTACTTCCCCTCACTAGACGCTCTGCAAGGAAGAAATGATATAAAAGTGGCTGCCAGGTGACTCCTGACAACCGGCACAAAAGTCAGCAGGACAGATCTGGATCCCAAGCTGGCAAAGGCATCCTGCCACCCACCCAGAGGGCCGATCGCATCCTGGGACAGGCACCAGACACAGGGCTCACAGCTGGCAAGTGCCGCTATGGCGACGCAAGCCTCTCCCTATTGGGACTGACTGGGCGCGAGCCCATGGCAGGCACAGCGGGGCCTGGATGAGCGGAGTGGCAGGCAGGAGTGGCAGGCGGTGTTGGACTGCCAGTTTTGGCCCGATCCCTGCAGGCCACCCCGAGGGACCCTACCTGTGCACGAATTTGCACACTGGGCCTCTAGTATAATAATAAGGTTTCTTCAGATAGAAAGTCTCCTTGGTATATTTACAAATAATCTCATTTGCAAAAAAAAATTAATATGCTATTGAGAAACATATTTTACAAAGTGATTAATTTCCTTGTTTGCCCTGTATTTTGATTGTTTAAGTACCATAACACCCTTAATTTTCCCTTTAAAAATATTTTTATTGATTTCAGTGAAGAACAGAGAGGGAGAGAGAGATAGAAACATCAGTGATGAGAGAGAATCATCGATAGGCTGCCTGCCTCCTGCACACCCGTCACTGGCGATCGAGCCCACAACCTGGGCATATGCCCTGACTGGGAATTGAACCATAACTTCCTGGTTCATAGGTTGATGCTCAACCACTGAGCCACGCCAGCTGGGCTAATTTTTCCTTTTTGAATTTTTGGCCAACAGTGCTATATTCCTTCTGCTGGTAATTTTTACCATTACTTTGTTCTTTCTCCTGCACACCCGACACTGGCGATCGAGCCCACAACCTGAGCATATGCCCTGACTGGGAATTGAACCATAACTTCCTGGTTCATAGGTTGATGCTCAACCACTGAGCCACGCCAGCTGGGCTAATTTTTCCTTTTTGAATTTTTGGCCAACAGTGCTATATTCCTTCTGCTGGTAATTTTTACCATTACTTTGTTCTTTATTTTTATTCTGAAAACAGCTGACATTATAATGCAGAATTCAGTCATTCCATTCACTTCTTTTCATCTTCTCATCAAGTAAGCAACTTCATGTGGAGGAAGTTCTTAAAAGAGCTGAATACCTTAGTGTACTTTCTGAATATGTGCATGTACATTTTAACATTCAGGGTCAGCTCTCTATGTATACAACAATGCAGTTTTCACCCCAGAGGACTGGCATGGTATTCAAGAAATAGCAAGAAGCAGGAAGAAGGATGATCCTTTGAAGGTTGGAAGATTTGGAATTGGCTTCAATTCTGTCTATCACATAACAGGTATAGTATTTGGTTTCAGTCTTGATATTGAAAATTAGTTTAACCTGTAGTTTGTCATTTATTTGGTTAACTTCAGAGATGATGCTGTTTTAAAAGGTATTTTTTTCCAATTTTATTTTGGTCAGTGGCAAAAAGTGTATCAATGAAATATCTGTGTTTTGAGTTTTCAGAAGTTACCATGGTAACTATATCAAAGCTTCATCATATGATGCTAAAAGTTAATGTCATCATAATACAGTGTAATATATTCAGTCATTTTATATAGGGTTTGAAATGTAGCTCTTGAAATGCTTACACAAAATTGTTACTCTGAGATATTTTACACTGGAAATGTTTGAGTCAGGCAAACCAATTCTCACATATTCTTATACATATTTTTAAATACCAGGAGGTTAAGGAAGAAAATGTAATATTTAATGCAGGGGTCCTCAAACTACGGCCCGCGGGCCACATGCAAATACAAATATTGTATTTGTTCCCGTTTTGTTTTTTTACTTCAAAATAAGATATGTGCAGTGTGCATAGGAATTTGTTCATAGTTTTTTTTTAAACTATAGTCTGGCCCTCCAACGGTCTGAGGGACAGTGAACTGGCCCCCTGTTTAAAAAGTTTGAGGACCCCTGATTTAATGGTATCAAATAACTGACAGAGTAAAGATCTTTGAGGTGATTCTGGTTTCTCTACATTTTTCTCATAAAAATTTTGCTCTTAAACCTATGAGTATTTTAAAGATTACTTTGAAATCATGTTTTGAATCTAGAAAGTATATGAGGTTTCTGGTTCATAGTTACAACAGGAAATACATGAAAGTTAGGATAGACATCCCTAAGAGTATATAGCTATTCTTCCAGAATCAAAGCTCTCAGTATTTACTACAGTTTGTAATAAAAAAAAATTATGGAATTGGCCCTCATTATGGTTTAGTTTCAAATTGTTTTTGCATTTTGAACTTGCAGGAGGAAAGATTGAGTTGGCAGAGCTATAACTATAGCTAGGGTGATGATATACTTTATCATCCAAACTGGGACACTCATGAGAGTGTATTATTCTCAACTGGCCTAAACTGGAACGGCCCCAGATGAGTGGGACATAGGGTCACCCTCACTATAGCCCAATTTTAGTAAGCCTATATATATATTTTTAAATATATTTTATTGATTTTTTACAGAGAGGAAGGGAGAGGGATAGAGAGTTAGAAACATCGATCAGAGAGAAACATTGATCAGCTGCCTCCTGCACACGTCCTACTGGGGATGTGCCTGCAACCAAGGTACATGCCCTTGACCGGAATCGAACCTGGGACCTTTCAGTCCACAGGCCGATGCTCTATACACTGAGCCAAACCGGTTAGGGCCTATATTTTTGTATTGAATTTACATTATTATATATTGTATAATATTCTATTAAGTCATATTACTTATGTAATACAATTATATTCATAAATTACAATTTTATGTTACTGTTATACATGAATATTAATGTTCATGTGTTAAACTATTTGAATATTACCCCTCAGATCAGTTTTTAATTATGGGGCACATATGTGAATGGCATAAGTGTGGAGACTATTGTACAAGAATGAATTGTTTAGTCAGAGTCTGGCAGACTGCCAGTATCTGCATCTCCCTCTGGATTTGTTCCCCATTTGAGAATGATCACATTTATGTGCAGTAGTATTAACTGTAGTGCTGTTCTCTAATCTGAGGATTTGTGAAGGTCATAGGTCATGCTGTACAATTGTCAGATGTCTCCCTGGCATCCTATCTAATAATAGAGAAACATGGTAATTAACCGTAACTTCGCTACCCTTCCCATTGGCTAATCAGCGAGATATGCAAATTAACCGCCAGCCAAGATGGCAAAAAAACAATCGGGCCCCTGCCCCGCCTTCATCTGGCCCTCCGAGGGGGACCCGGGGCTGGCGGGTGGGACCCTGGCAATCGGGCACCTGCCCTGCCCTCTTCCGGCCCTCCCGAGGGGGACCTGGGGTTGGTGGGTGGGACCGCAGCGATCGGGTACCCACCCCGGTATCCCCTGTGCAACGGAACCCTGGGCGGCAGCAGCGATCTGCCCGCCGGCGCATCCCATGTACCACCATCCGGGGCTGGTGGCAGAGGTCCCCACCCTCATCCGGCCCTCCCGCGGGGACCCGGGGCTGGCAGGTGGGACCCTGGCAATCGGGCACCTGCCCTGCCCTCTTCCGGCCCTCCCGAGGGGGACCTGGGGTTGGTGGGTGGGACCGCAGCGATCGGGTACCCACCCCGGTATCCCCTGTGCAACGGAACCCTGGGCGGCAGCAGCGATCTGCCCGCCGGCGCATCCCATGTGTGACCCAACTTGGGTGGGTAAGTCACGGGCATGCCCAGCAGCCTCCATCAGTGCCTCAAGCCCCAGCAGCAGCAGTGGCAGTAGCGGTGGCGGCAGTGCCCGCGACCTGCCCGCCCAGGTGTGAGCTGCCCCAAGCGAGCAGTGTG